GAGGGGGGTGTTCCCCCGCCCCCGCCCACTCCGGGGCTAGCGGAGCTCCCCGTCCTCAGAGAACCGCCCCCCCTCATATGGCGCCTTTCCGCGGGCCGCATCCCGCGCCCGGGACTGCCCTGGCTAATTAATCGCCCCTTCCGGCTAATCAGCCCTCCCGGCTAATTACCGACAAGTGACAGGAGCACAGGCGGGACGTCCCCGCCGGGTTCCCCGGGCGGGACAGAGAAACTGACGGTTGCAATAGACGTGCCCCAGAAAAGGGATGTGAATGGACTGGAATCCATCAGTCAACAAACAGACAAATAAATAAATAAGTACCTACAAACAGACACACCAGCGAAGGGGCAGAAGCCAGATAACCCCTCCCGCGGGACAGATTCCCTTGAGAAACAGCCCCGGGGGGACGGGGGCGGTGACAGGGACGCGTGTCCCCACCACGCTCCGGATCCCACGCGTCCCTTCCCGGGGGAACACACGGCTTCCCTCGGCCCTCCGCTCCGAAACCCCGCATTTTCGGGTGGCAGCAGCCCGGCTCCCGTCCCAGCGACAGCACGGTCCGGGTGCGACCCACCTCCCTGCTCAGGGACCACAGCCACCATCATCTAAAAATAAACCTCGCGATCAGAGAAACGCTCGAGTCTTGTTTTCATTGAGGATTATTTGGGTTCCAAAAACCAGCCACAGGCACTCCGGTGTATTTGGGGTGGGTAAACGCACCAGTTTTCTGGCCCGTGGCAGAGGGGCAGACGCGACAGCCGCCCTGCCGCAACCACCTGCGGTGTCCCTGCCCGTGGAACAAAACGAGCTTTAAGGTCCCTTCCAACCCAAACGCTCCGATTAAACCCCCGCACCCGCCTCGGGCGAGGTGCTCCCTGCCCTGGAGTCGCTCTGGCACTGGTGACCAGCTTAATTCCCCGGCACGCTCGGCTGAGCATTCCCCACCCCCTCGCAACTGCCTCCTGTTCCAGGAAGGAGCGCACGAGCTTTCGCCTCACTTTTCACACAGCTTTCAGCAGCTCCAATGTCATTGCCTAGGCGACCGGGACGCTACTAGATCGTAGTGCAGTAAATAACATAGATCCTCTATCCCAGGCCACTCCTGTCTGCGGGACACCTCCGGGGGAACTCGAAACGCAGGTAGGAGGAAAAAACCTACAAAAGGAAACCCCTTGCTATTCGTGTGTGCGAGTTTCTCGGCAGGACCCTCTCCTGAGCACTCGATAACGTGCCTGGAAGGTGATTCGCAGCCACTTGGCTTCGTGGGCTTGTTACACAATATTGAACTGTCCTGGAAAGTTTGCTCCCGGGTGCCTGAGATTGGAGTGAAAACTGGCCCAGCCTTGAGCGGAAGAAGCAGTGGAGGGGCTGGATCCCAGTGGGATGCAGGGGCTGGCTGCCACAGGGTCCCTGCACACCCATGAGGCTGCCAGGGAGGGAGAGAGAGCGGCTGCCTCAGCCTCCTGCCCCACCACGAGCTGCCTGTCAGTGACTCCATCCAGAGAGGATTTCTGTCCAGCCTGCCTCCTCCTTGGAAAGTAAATAGTTAATAACCTGCTGCACCCCAAGGAGGGCTCCTGAGATTCAAGCGTGCTGCGGGAAAGCTCACTCACTCGCTCTTCATTGATTTTCCAAACCTCATTTTGCAGGTGTGGATTTAATAATCCTGAACAAACTAACCATAGCATGGGGCAGCACTGGCACCCTGGGACTGGCAGCATTTTGCAAATATTGAGTTGTTAGCTGTGGGCTGGATAAGCCCAGTGGGTCTTGTTGTGCAGAGGAGAGAAGGTCCAGGACTGGTTCCAAGCATCAAGCTTGGAGTGTAAGAGGTAGCAATGGCTCTCAGGAGTCCTCCTCTCTCAGGATGGGCAAAGAGTCCTTAGGAATTAGTCATAGCCCTGTTATACAGAGTTTGGGCATTTATCTCCCTTTAAGGTGGCTGCAAAATGCCATCACGTTTCATCCTGGGCTGGAGTGGCAGCACAGCAGTGAATTTGTTATCAATAGCACTGGGCATTTCTAGGGGCTTACCCAGAGCCTTAAAGTTGATGGTGAGATCAAAGATGCTCCCTCTAGAGAGTGCAGAAACTCAGCAGCCGGGCAGGGCTGTGAGACCCCTTCACTTTCCTCACAGTGCTGAAAGAAGGAAGTTGGGTTTATAATCATTCTAAGAATATTTTGGGGTCTGTGGTCAGAACATGAACCATGAGTGAACCATGGTTGGATATACAGAGGTTCATCAGCTCTGCTTCTCCAGGGTTCTCCCATTTTGGGGTGGCTCTTGGGACCTTGGTGTGTGTTTTTCCTTCTCCCTCTCTCTCTGGGGCTTGGGGGGAAAGAGCTGCTTCAGCTGGCCTGGGGCTGACTTGGCATTTCAGATGTAGCCAAAGCCACAGCAGTGTGGAAAATTGAGTACACTGAGCTTTTCCATGCTAATCTTTGGAAATTACTCCAGTGGCAGTTCACAGGGAAGGGGCATGCACGGCAGGAATCAGTCCCACTGTGACCCAGCCGGGTCCAGCAATCCCGGGGGTGGCAGCCCTGCCATGGGCTGAGTTCCAGGGCGAGGGGAGGTGATGATCACCTGTTCTCAGGCTTTCTCTCCCTGCTCCTGGCCTCTTTTCCCGTGTGCAGTTTCCCTGCAATGCCCTGACTAGCAACAGAGGGGAGCAGCAACCCAGCAATCGCTGGAGCCGGCTTGGGGAGGTGCAAGGAGAGCAGCTCTCCCTGTGAACACCAGCAAATCCCACCTGCAGCCTTGCATCCCATCACCAGACCCTGGCTTTGCATGTTTTGGTCCCTCTTCCTCTAGAAACCTGCAATAAATCCAGTGCAGGTCCCTCCTGAGCTGTGCCAGTCATGCCAAGCATCTCCTGCCACCTCCCTGCAGCCTCAGGGCAGAAGGGATGGAGAATTCCTTGCTGCCCTTCCCTGGGCAAGGAGATCTTCATTTTAATAAGCAGTTTGAGGTCTCTGGAGGTGAATCCTCCCGGTGGGGTCTGACTGCAGAACTTTAACTGGCAGAAGCGGGGATGATACCCCAGGTCTTTGGTGTGGGAAGCTGGTGACAGCAGGGAGTGGACACAGTTAGGGCAGAGCTGGAATAGCCTCCAAACTGGGGGGCTGGAAGGGGCAGGGAGCTGAACATGAGGCTCTAAGGCTCTTCCCAGTTCACTTTTAATTTAGCTGTGCCACAGGGCTCCCACTTCTTCCCACAGGGTGTCTTCTCCTTCTGCTGGATCTCACCATCACAGTGGTTTCCCACCTCCCCTGGACGGGAATGTCTCCACCATTCATTGTGCAATGGGGCTCTGAATGGCACCTCCTTTCAGATGGAACTGCATCAGCACCGTGCCAATTTTGGGGAACCCTATTTATAAGTCTTTTGTGATTCTTTACCATCCCAGATACCCTGTACCAGGCTGTCAGTCTTGCTGCAGAGGTGCTTTTCTGGGATGAGCTGGGATCCCAGCAGAGGGATGTGCCTTAACAACACCGACCGCCGCAGCTTCCCTTTGTACTCTGGAGTTTAGAGCTCAGATGTGAGAAGCTGGCCTGGCTTTGCATGTGCAGGTTGTGCTTTGAAAGAGAAAGGGAACTTCCAAAACGCCCTTAAAACAGTCAGATTTCTTTCCTTTTGAGAACGAGAGCAGCCACGTGGTTAGAGCTGGTGTCACCCGTGATGACCACACAGCCGGGGCGGTGCAGAGGTGCTTTCTCTGCTGGAGGGAAAGGCCTGGCTTCTTCCTGAAGCTGCCCCGGGCCAGGGAAAGCAGCATGGACGCAGGGTAAGGCCACCAGCAGTCGCCTGCATCTGTTCTAGGCTTTTCCTTCTCTCAAAGCTGTCGTGTAGGTACTTTCGTTTCTCTGTGTGTCACACATGGGGCGAGGAGGGACGGGAGGACACCAAACTCTCCCTGTGAGCTATCCTGGCATGGGGCCCGTGGCACAAGGGCCCTCCTGTGCTGTGGGAAACCCTCAGGGAACAGCAGCTGTGGATGTTGTGTCTCGTAGAAAGCAGCTCACAGGATCTGCTGATGGGGAAAGCTAGCCTGCTTTCGTTTTAACTCCCTTCCCTGCAGGCACCCAGTCCCCAGCTGAGTCAGAGGGGCCTGGGAGATCCTGAGCATCCCTCAATCTGAGAGGGGCTGCCCTCGACTCAGCAGCTCCCACCCCAAAAGCAGGAAGTTTCAGGTTTTCACTATGAGATGTCGAAGTTGAAACGAGACACTAAAACCAGCGCGGGTAAAAGGAGCAGCCAGATGTGCCTGAGGTACATCCATGTCAGCCAGGGCAGGGAAGCACTCCTGCTGCTTCCAGGGACTGGGTAAGGGAGGAGGAGGAGGACGGTTCTCTGGCAGGGCTGCCCAGGGAGGCAGCGTGGGGCTCAAGATGGCTCTGGGAGACTCCCCGCTCCGGCTGCTGGGCCAGAGAGGCTCCAGGAGCACAGGGAGAGCCGAGCTGTGCCCTGTGCTTCCTCCAGCACCTGAGAGAGGCCAGGAAACACTGCCCAGGGGTGAGGGGAGGGCAGCTGACTGAGGAGGACTCTGGGTATGACTGTGCACAGCCCTCGGAAGGCTTTGGCTGTCCCGCAGCTCCCCGGATGCACCTTCTGGCCGAGCTCGGGTCACGCCCTGCACACCCCCAGGGCTGCAGCTGCTGGGGCTGGGGGGCTCTGTCCCCCCCACGGGCCCTGGGCAGCTCCAGCCCCTGCTGCAGTGAGCTGGGCTTGGGGGACTCCTGCCCTTGGCCGGGTGCTTTGTTGGCATGAGATGGCTCAGCACGGCACAGCCCAGCACGGCACGGCACTGAACAGCCCGGCACAGCCCGGCACAGCCCGGCACAGCACACTGACAGTGCTAACCTGCTGCTTCTCTTTGCCCCCAGAGTGGTTTATCCTCTGTCGGACTCCCCCACTGCCAAGATGTCCCAGTCACCTCCGGCTGATGAAGGCAGCACGTTCGCCCACCTCTGGAGCACTCTGTAAGTGGGGGATCATTGCCCGGGAGGGGTGTTCAGAAGCAGGAGCAGACAAGCTCCTTTTGCATCCTCTGCTCTCCACAGAGGCCTTTGCCACACCACGAATTTTGCTCCTGGATTCCACCCTCTCTGCTCAGCCCATTTCATTTGCCAAAGTGTTGTTTGAAACCAGCACACAAACGCACATGGCTCTCTCTCATGGAGGGCTCCTTTTTTTGCTGCAGTGCTCCAGGGCTGCATGGAGATGGTGTCAGGGCCAGAGCAGAGGTCCACTTAACCTAGGACCCTTCATTCCAAAATTAAACATCTTCCAGCCCCACCAAGATATTTGCAAGTTTTCTGGCCTTTGAGCCTCATGCTCTAATAAAACAAAGGAGAAAGACTGTCCTTCGTTCCATCCTTTCTCCCTTGGTATCCTCTCACAGAAAGATATCCCAAGGTGACAGATATGCCACAGGAGCTGGGTGGATGCACAGCTTCCCAAGTCTCTGCCAGGCAACAGTTTGCCTGAGCAAAGCCTGCTCTGCCACCTGGGAATCAAAGCAGAGGATGGAGGGAGGGGTTGGGAAGGTGACAAGGTTCAAGAGGATTGTGAGTTGCTGGGTGGTGGTGGTGGCAGGGGTGTTGGAGAGCTGGGAAGATGACTGTGTCCTCACCTTCTCCTCAGGGAGCCAGACAGCACCTACTTCGACCTCCCTCCAGCCACCCACACCGGCAGCAATGAGGTCTCCAACCAGACAGAGGTCACCATGGACGTCTTCCAGATGAGAGGCATGAACGACTCGGTGATGGTGAGTGTGCTCAGGTGGCACAGGTGGCACCTGCACCAGACACAGACTCGATTTCCCCTCAGGGGTGGGTTGGGGGCTCTGGGGGAGGCAGTGGGGAGAACAACCACTGCAGGTGTGGCACTGCTGGCACTGGTGCAGGGTCTGATCACCTGTGGCACAGGGCTCAGTAAAACCATGGCTACTCATTGCTGGACAATATCTCTGCACACAGCAGCGGGGGCTCAGCACTGTAAGGGCAGCAGAGCTCAGGTCCCACGACAGGAACAGGGTATCATTCGCTCTGGTACAAATGGTGTGTAGTTAAAGCCCATCCTACAAGCCTTTGCCTCTGTCAAAGGCAGAGTCTTGAAAAAGCACCGTGGGTGTGCGAGACATGCAGGACACTCGTGCCTGTTTGGTGCCCCGAGCAGGTTTGCCTCCCGGGAGCATCCCTGCAGCAGCTCCGGCTGTTGGCAGCATCCCCCTGCAGAAAGCCGCCGTTTCCCTGCAAAAAGCCGCCGTTCCCTCCCCGACAGCTGCCTCCCCTCCCCCAGCCCCTTTTCCCTCGCTTTCCACTCGCTTTCCCTCCTTCCCCAGCCTCTGCCGCAGCGGGCAGGAGCCGGGCAGAGGGCTGATAATTGGGGCTCTGCCCCTCGCTGGGCGGGTGAGCCCTCGCCTTTCCCCTCGCTCCCGCTGGGACCGAAGCCGAGCCCGGCTGGGTTGGTGCAGCCCGGGGTGTGTGACAGTAAATGCACGGGTAACAGGACACCACTGGACTGAGACAGAGGCAAGAGGGGGAACAGTGGTGCAGGGACTGCTCAGTCCGTGCTGATTCCTGCTGCTCGTGGGGCTCAGCACCAGTGCCAATGCTCGGTGACTTGGAGCAGGTCACCCCAGTGCCCTGGCCAGCCATCTCTCCCTATCTATCCCTATCCATCCCTGTCTATCCCTCTAGATATCTGTCCATCCATCCATCCATCCATCCACACCTATCCATAGCCATCCATCTAGGCAGGGATAACTCCATATCACCGAGACACGGAGCTCTCACAGAGTCACTGCATCATCTGGCCAGTGCAAGCACGGCCACATCGGTGTGCTGGTGACAGGTGCCAGCCAAGCAGGTTTCCAGCCCCATGTGGCTGGAAGAAGCTTTCAGGAGTGGGATCAGGGTGGGTTTGATGGTGGAGCTGGACCCCCGCTCTCCCTGCAGTGGGAATGGTTGGTATCGCCCAGTCCATCACTGGGCAAGCTGGGGCCTGCCCTGTGCTTTAATGAATAGTCATGAGGGACAGAAGGGGTGGGCCCCGTTTTGTTGTTGGATGCAGCGAGTTGACAGAACTAAGGGAGATGAAAAAAGCCAAAGAGCCAACAGACGGCGGCACACGGGTGGCCAGCGCAGCATCCCTGGCGCTGCCCGCCCAGGCCCTGCTCCCACACTGCCCCTTCCACCCACCATCCCACCCCGGCCTCCTCCATCGCCACCCCGACCCCATGACTCCCGGGGCAGGACGGTTCCCCGCGCTCCGTGAACCCCAAGACAACTAAAATGCTGTACGTCAGCGACCCGATGCAGCATTACACCACGGTAGGTGCTGCTCCTTAGGGACGGGGTTTGCCTTGCTGCTATTACTGGGATTATCCCCCGCTGCTGGGGCACCCACTCCAGCTCTGCCAGCCCAGCCTTTGTGCTGTGGCCCAGGATGCTCCAGGGGTTGTCCCAGTGTGAGCTTGTCCCCAGCCCACGGCTGCAAGGATGAGCTGGGGCTGCTCCAGCCCCACTCCTGAGCCCCCGTCCGTGTCAGTGCAGGATGCTGCAGCCTCAGCAGCTCCGTCACTGGTCCTCTGGCTTTGCCTGATCCAGTGCTGGCAGAGCCCAGGGTGTGATTTAAACCTTGGGTGAAAGGAGTGCAGGCTCCTCATCCGTGTGCACAGTCAGGGGGGGTGTTGGCTGGAGCATCCACCCCAGGATCACCTGCGGTGCTGGACACCCTCAGCATCGGTTTGTTGTCCACTGGGGATCTCCTTGGCCGAGCCCACAGCACACACCATGGCCCCAGGCAGGCTTCCCTTCCCTGCTGGAAACCCCTGGGAGGGAAGAGCAGGTGAAGTGGTACCTGTGCTGCAGGTGATGTGCTTTCAGCCCTGTCCTTGGGTGCTGAGGGTGTTTCCTTAGGGGTCTGTGTCTGTCTCTGACGTTCAGAACAGTCCGGCAGGGGCACAGAGGCAGTCGGATATAGGAGGAAATTACTTCATTCCCCTTTTTTATCTTGTGTGTGTTGCTACCAAGCCGTGTGTCCCGGGATTGTTGGGGTTGTTCCTTGGGAGGTCGTTGTTGCAGTTGTGTGTGTGTGTGTGTGTGTGTGTACAAACACGTGTGTGTATGAACATATTTACACACATACACATAAACACACCTGCCTTTGATTTGTTTTTTAAGGGAATGTTTCCATAATTTTGTCAGTTTTGAACAACAAGTTGGTCATTTTCCCCCTGCACCTGACTGGGTCTCTCCACCAGTGGATTCCCAAAGCCCTGGTGCTCGGGAAGCTGTGTCACCTGGCTGGCACAGGTGGTACCCTGGGGCTCATATCTCACCATTTTTCCTGGGGGAAGTTCTCTCCCATGCAGAGGTCAGGATGCTCTGCTCAGTGGGGGGTCCCCACTCCCCTGCCCATTTATGGCTTCAGCCACACACAGTCCTGGCTCTAAGCATGAGAGAAAAACAGCTCAGTCCTGATACTCCTGGATTATCTGGGCTGTAGATCAGCCCTGTCCAGCACCAATCCCTTCTCCCTTGCTGCTGCTCTCCTGGTTGATGCCTGAGCTTTGCCTGTGCCACCATGCCAGTGCTGCCCTGCCTAGTCCCCACAGCTGCTGCCCAGCAATTCCCAGCTGGAAGGCAAGAGCTTCCCACATGCCTGTTTTTTCCAAAGTTTTTCTCCAGGTGAAGCCCGGGATTATGGAAAGCTTGGCTTGTCTTTGGCTGGGCTATTTATAGAGCCGTGAGTAGGAATAGAGGGGTTTAGGCACATATTTTAGGGAGAAAATGGCTGGATGTGTAAAAGCAAGCCAGATCTTGTTCAGCATTCCTCCAGTTAGTCACAGGCTCCAACGACCTTGTGAGAGATGCAGGCAACAGGAGAACTTCCCTGGAGAAGGATGATTGCCTTTAAACCATTCCACATTGTAGACGGTTGGGTGAGGTTGGGATCCCAAGTTAAAACACGTCTCTTGATTCCTGAGCCGTGAGCCTCGCAGCCCTTTGGGGAAGGCTGAGCCTGCTGGCTGTGCCCACGGCTGCTTCCAGAGCTCTTGGCTTCCCAGAGCTGCCCCAGCGGGTGCTGGGAACAGGGACAGTCCTGCTGGGGCGTGGGGGCAGTCGAGGGGGACCTTGTCCATGCTCTGGTGTGGGAGCCAGGACAGCACACAGCGACGCACTGGCCACTGCCTGTGGTCACCGGCACAGCCCCAGTGGCCACCACGGCACTGACCTCTGGGGCTGCCAGGGTGAGAGCAAGCCCTGAGCAACTTGGGAATTCCAGGTTTCTGGGCAAAAAAACCATCCTAATTGCTTTGAGAAACAGTTGTATTTGGGTCTGATTTTCTGGTGAAATATTACAGCCACTCTAGCCACGCGGTTCTCGGGAATGTCACTGTACTTAGGCGGTGCCTGAGGGTAAAGGAGCTGCCAGCTCTTACTGGAAGCATCTGACAGTAGCTGGTCAGAAGACGAATAAAAAAAAAAATTGTAAAAAGTCAGGATTTGGTCCAGCGGGTCTGGAATAGGAGCCAGGACGTGCCTAAATGGGTCTGTTTGCCCTGTGCCCTTCCTGCAGCGGCTGCATCGCAGCCACGCATTTCGGAGGTTTGAGGTTTTCCCCAAATTAGAGCTGCATCAGACACTGAGAGCAAACATCCCACTGGGAAACAAGCTACAAACCACTGCTCAGGGCTGGCTGGCTCAGAGAAGCACTCCCAGGAGCGGTGTGTGGGTGTCTGTCCTTGACCAGTAAATGCAAGAGGGGCAGGTCAGAAAACAGGTCAGACACCCAGGACTGCTGTCACGACAGAGCAATGCCATTGCCAGGGACTGCTGGTCACCTTGCCAGGGCAGCTTCACTGAGCTGTGACACTCTGGCTGCTGGAAGGGCCACTGTGGAGCAGAGCCCTGTGTGCAGGACAGGGCTGTCACTCCCTGCCCACAGCGGGACATCTCCTGAGCGAGCCCCGGAACATCTCTGCCCTCTCCCCGCTGTCAGAACAGTGGCTTTCCCTAGGCAGGTGTGCTGGAAATCTGGGATTGTGGCACCCCACTGCCTCCAGTGATGATGGAGCAGATCGAGTGGGATGATTTAAGTACTGGAGTTGATCCCTCACACAAGTGGGGACCTGTTGGAAAACCCAAGCCACCCAGACCAGCTCTTTTGGCTCCCCTCCCGCATGCTGGCCCTTTAAGGAGGCTGTAACAGGACACCCCAGCCCTGGAGAAGGGTGGCTGAGGTTTCCCTGTCTCTAAACTGGCTGGTGTTTTCTTTTTTCCCTCCTCCCCTTTTCCCTTCCTCCAGTCCCAGTTCAATTTGCTGAACAACAGCATGGATCAGAGCATCGGCAGCAGAGCAGCCTCCACCAGCCCCTACAGCTCCGAGCACACCTCCAATGTCCCAACGCATTCTCCCTACTCGCAGCCCAGCTCTACCTTCGACGCCATGTCCCCGGCTCCCGTCATCCCCTCCAACACCGACTACCCCGGCCCACACCACTTCGAGGTGACCTTCCAGCAATCCAGCACCGCCAAGTCAGCCACCTGGACAGTAAGTTGCATGTCTTCTACCATCCCTAGGGAGATGCTCACCACCACCCACAGCGTCCTCACCGCCACCAACCAACCAACACCTCGGTGGTGGGGACGCTTGGCAGGGCAGCTGTGGGACACGGCCACCACCCATGGGGACTTCACCTGCACGGGTGGTCCTGGGAAGCAAAACATGCAGGAAATATCCGTGCTTGCTTTTCAAGGGGTTTCTCCCAACAGCAGCTACGATGTCACTTCTCTCACTGCAATTCCCTAAACTGCAGGTAAATGTCCCCAAATGAAATGTCCTGGGGAAGTACCTGCCTTGTTCTCCCAGTGCTTCCCAACACCTTTGCCAGCCAGCGCTGTCAGAGGTGAGGCTGTGGGTGAGAGGGACCTTTGCTCGCATCTCCCAGCGCCGTTCCCAGCTTTGCCGTAAATTCCTGCTTGTCATTTACAATCCTTTCCCACCTCGTATCAGAGGAGTAACTTAATCTCTAGAAGTCACGGCAAACGGCAGAGTAGGATTTTAACCACAGTGGGTTTTTAGTCAAGATCACATCGTGCCGTCTGCTCGTCTCCTCGGGAGCCGGGATGTGGGTTTGGTCCACGGCCGCTCCGAGCGCACAGGAGAGCTCCGGGAGCAGGGACCCGGTGACAGGGAGAGCGTGCAGGGGCCGCTGTGCTTTTTGTGGAGAAAGGTCCTGATTTCGCGTCCCTGGCTCAGCGCAGCGCTGTCCCTGCTGTTGAGGAAAGCGGCGCTTGCGGGCAGTGCCAGAGGCGCTCCTGCAGCGGGTGCCTGCGGAGCGCCCGGGAGAGCCGCGCACCAGCGCGCTGGAGCCGGGAGGGTTTTCTCCTCCGGGAAACACTGACTGAACAGAAAGGCTGGGCTGGGGTGACTGACATCCCATGGGAACAGAGAGGGTTTCCTCCAGGGCTGCGGTTTGACACTGCCATGGAACGGGCAGAGCAGCCCAGGAGCGATGTGTCAGCCCCAGGAGTGATGATGACCTTTGTTTTCAGGAGGTGACGTGTTTAATTGCCAAGACAGTCCTTCCCGCGGGAGACAGAAAGCATCCTTGGATGCTGTCGTGCAGGGAGACCCGGGCAGCGGCCGGGGGGTGCTGCTGCACGGTGGGATGCTCCCGGTGTGTCCTGGTGAGGGTGCAGGAGGCGACGGGCTCCTGCACCCTCACCAGCCGAATTGAACGCAGCCGAATTCCTGGCTGGAGCAGTCCAGCAGCTTCCCTGCGGCCGGTGGCTGGAGCTGCACAGCTGAGTCACACAGATCAGCGGCTTGGGACAGCACCGTGGTTAAACACGACCTGCCCTCGTAGGGGTGGTTAAGCTCTTTCCACTGTCTTTCCTTGCGGGATGTTACTCAGGGATGCATTTCATTAGGAACTGAATAAACCTGAGGTCCTCGGGGCAGGATGATGTGACTCCAGACTGATCCTATCCCTGCTGGGGGATAACTCCCATCAGTTACAGGATTGCTGTTCTTCCCAAGCCTTTATGGACAGTCAGGGCAGGCAGTCCAAGGTGTGTGGCCCCCTGAACCACGACACTGGGGTGGCTGCATCCCCCCAGAGCAGGATGGCTGCAAGGTCAGAGCCCAGCAGCCCACAGTTCACTGCACTGGAGCTGAGCCTTGCAGAGACCAGCAGTGGGTTGGCACCCTGAGAGCACAGGGGACGTTTCATTTGAAGCAGGGATTCCTGCAGCACTGCTGGTGTGGATGCAGCGGGTCTGTCTCGCCGAGGTGCCACATGAGGAACAGTCCTGCTGCAGTGACAGCTGGTGTCACTGCATGTCCTCCCCACTGGGGCTGTCACAGACACATTTATTGCTGGAAGATGAGGCCGCTGCCTTCCTCCCACTTACCGTGAGCTCTGCAGTGCCACTGCCACACCCGAGGCTGTCCCGGTAAAATGGGGAAAGGAGCTCAGCAAAATAAATATGTCCTCTGCTACCAGTGAATCAACACAGGTTTGTGACCCTGCACAGGAGCTGAGCACACACAGGTAGCAGTCAGGAGGGCTGGGGACAGACGGGGATGTCTGACAGCACAGTCACACAAAGGGCAGCAGCACTGCAGGACACACGTGGGCTGGGCCAGCACGTCAGAGGGAACAGCCCAGCCTGGTTCAGCCCTGTCTGGGGAAGCTTTGTGGCTTTTGGGTACCCTGGGGTTCACTGCACCAAATGATTTATGCCAGGGTGGTTGATCAGTTTACACCAAGCTTTGACCACAAGCCTGGTGGAGTCAACGTGCCAGGCAGTGTTTCAGAGCAGCAGGGAGTCCTCTGTGCTGCAGGAAGGCTCTGCTGAAGGTCTCTTGCAATCTGGGGTCAGATCAGGGAGGATCCAGCCATGAAGGAATGGACAGCTGGTGTACAGGCAATGCCAAAGCAAGTAGTTCATGCAAGTCATCTTGTCAAATGATTTGGGGTCATTTTTGATACAATCATGAGCTTTGTTGATGGAAATGTGTAGCTCAGTGGCCTTTTGGTTCAACCTCTCTGGAAGATGTGGTGTTGTCCATCCTCCTGTGCATAGGAGGGGAGGCTCCAAAGGATCTTGAGGGTCCAGAGCAGAGTGTTTGGAGATGAGCTGGCTGCTCTGGGGTGGTTTGCTCTGCAGGGCTGGTCACATCACTGGTGATGTACACATCACCTGGGCAGGGAAGCAAGGTGTCCCCAAGCCCACTGTCTGCACACATGATGCTCCTGTCCACACTTCAAACCCTCTGTTGACAAAACAGAAATTGTTTGGGAGGGAGATTGAGAAGAAGATAAAAAATTTGGTGCAGATGCCTTGTGGGGCGATACCAGGGAAGTGTTCTGCAAGGAAGGTCTCCCCAAGAAGAGCAAGGGTGGCTTGATCGTGGTGTGCCCAGGAGATGGTTCCTCATAGCAGCCAGCTCCTTAATCAAACAGAAAAAGATATAATAAGATCCTTAATCTAACAGAAAAAAAATATAATAAGATCCTGCACTTGGAAGCTGAAGCCAGGCAAATTCAGACTACAAACAAGGTGGAATTTTTTTAGCAGTGAGGATAATTAAACATAGGAACAATTTACCAAGGAATGCAGTGGATTCTCCAGCTCCTGAAGGATTCAAATGAGGAGTCTGCATATCTCCTGAGAGATAAGCTGTGCTTTAGCAGACGCCCTTGGCTCAATGCAGGAGTAGGAAGAAGGAAGGGGTCTGGGGACAGCAGTGTGGGGAATGGGTCCAGAGCATCATCAGCTGCTCTCTCTTGCCTCTAAATGCTGATTTTCTAATTTTAGGAAAGGGGTGAATGGAGAAGGGGCAAAGCCTTGGGACAGGGGTTTGGGGCTCACATTGCTGAGCTCTGTCCTTGCAGAGGGACACTGGGCAGCAGTGGGTGACACTGGATGTCCCAACCCCCCGGGCTGGGCTCTGAGCACCACACATCACCAGCTCTGGACCGAAGCAGCAGCTCTGTTCCGTGCTGTTGGAAGCCCTCCAGGCTGCTGCCACCTCCCTTTTCATTTTTAATGGCCTTCTTATCACAGAGAGCAACGGCCAGATGCTGAAAATAAGGTTTTCCCTGTAGGTTGGAAGCCCCCCTCTGGTAGGCTGCTCCGGCGGGGCTGGGAGGAGGACCGGGAGCTGCGGCGCGGCAAGACGGGGCACGCCGGCATCCTGCCTGCCCGCCGGGAGCCGTCGGGCTCCGGGAGCCCGGAGCTGCCCGGACACGCTGCAGCCGCAGCCGATCGCGGCGCTTTCCTCGCCGCAGCCCCTCGCCGCACCGGCCAGCTGGTAACTGATGGATAATTAGGATTTTTCTCAAGTCGGGTTGGTGGCAGAGCAGGGCTCCCTCCCCGCCGGACGCTGTCACGTGTGCCAGACCCGCAGAAGTGTTAATGGGGTCTTTGGCCTCCCGTGGCTGGGCTGCCAAGGGATGTGGGGGCTCGAGCCCATGGTGTGGGGCAGCCATCCAGGCCTGCACAGAGCCCCTGGAGCCAGGGGGAGATGGACAAACCCCCAGGCTGTGCAGGCAGGGGGGGGTCTCTGACACAGGCACAGGGAGGCCCAAACCACATCCAGGGACTTGCTGCTGCTTCAGGGAGCAAACAGCAGGTGAGGGAAAGGCTGGAGATGTTCACAGCTAAGGGGAGCTGCTCCTGTTCCCATGGATGGCTGGCCAGCACTCACCCACAGCAAACTGGATCCCAGTGCTCAGCCAGTGGGAGATGGCCACGTGGAACTGGTTCCAGTTACTCGTTAGATCTTACAGCTGGAGCGTGGCCACTGGAGAGCTGAAATGCTTTGCCTGATCCTAAACTGAACGAGGAGGATGGGAATAATTGATGTGGCAGGAGGCAGGTTCTTTGCTGGTTGCTGCCTGAAGCTCTTTGGGGTAGAGACGGTTGTAAAGACAAGGGAAAACTCTTCAGGAGCATCTATAGACTACAAGCCCACTCTTCAAATCCTCTCTGGCACTTCCTCATATCCCACAGAAGTTCCTGTCCAACAGCCATGGCCTGGAGATGATCAGGGGCCATGCACAGCTTAGGACACTGCCTCTGAGCCACAAACATCTCTGGTTCTATCCGAGCAGCTGGGCAGATGAGTGTGGATATTCTGGCATGCTGGAAGTAGGGAAGCAACCTCAGCACCAGCCTGCCCAGAGCCCATCGAAGCCAGCCCACTGGAGGCTTTCCACCAGCTTTTGCAGGGTGTGGATGAGGCTCCAGGAGCTCCAGACACAATGGAATTAAGAAAAAAGGCAAAGGAATTCGGTGTGTGATGTTCCAACACGATCCTGCTATCAGCTCCACTATCTCAAATGTGTCTGGAATGCACAGGTCAAGGGAATGACTTACTGGCAATGCTGCTCCATCGGGAAGGCAACGCTCTCCAGCAGGAGAGGTGGGAGAGAGTTGGGAGCCCATGACCTCTGGTGCATAAGGGAGGGGGGGAAAGATGCTGGTGCACCCTGGGCAAACCCGCTCTCTGCCCGTGGCCACTGCAAGCAGCAGCTGTGG